CCCCAGTCAGAGTCTCACCAGGGTGCAGTGGTGGGGTGAAGGGTGGTAGGGTGTGGGAGAACAGTGTCAAAAGAACCCCCCTGAACTAGAACCACAGCTTTTCATACCTGTCATGATGTGGATTTTCAGCTTGAGCACACTAGGCTGAGCTCAGGGGACGTTGTCATTTAGATTTAGGGTTTTATCTCCTTTGCTCTCCATTAGCTGTGAAACCTTCTTATTATGCTGCAAACCAAAACTTTTTTCCCCCCAGTGGTTGTTCCCTTTCCCAAATATCGATCTGCCTGTGTCCTCAGCACGGGTTCAGATCCACCCCCCTCACCCTCAGCCTGGGTGGCAGTGCCACCTCTCATGCCATCAGGGACCGGAGCAACCGACAGGGAGGGGGATGTTCATCCACTGACACGTGGGTTTTCTCTCCCCATCCTCTCCCTCCTTGTGCTGGCAGTGACAGAGAACTGAACAGGATGGGGCTGATTGTGCTTGGCAGGTGGAGAGGGAATGGAAGGAGTGGGGAGAAAAAGAGCAGCCCAGGATAAGGATGAACCTCTCACAGCCTTGTTCCACATTCACACCCTGCAGCACCTTGGGCGAGAGCTCTCCAGGCAGGGGACTAAAAGCTGGGGGCTGGCCTGTGCAGGAGGCTGCCCCCACTTGTCTTGGGGGGGTGATTTTAAGCCAATTTAATTAAATTGCTTGGCAAAGTTGCAAGGACTCATCTATTTCAGCTTGAGCCAGGCCTGTTTTGATTTAGTCTTGGCTGATTAGGAATTAGTGGAAACAAACCGCTCAGAAAACAAAATTAGAGGGTGCACGCTAACTTTTGCACCAGATTAAGCTGAATTAAAAAGCAATTGAAATGTAATTTTCCTGTCTCAAGCAGCCAAGAAACAAGATAATGCAACTGGTGGCACTTGAAGCTTAAAAACACAGCAGCCAGGATTAGCACAACTGGCTTTTTAACGCCTCCAAGCCACAGATTTGTCTGAAGGTCTTTTCTCAAACCTCCTCCCATCACCTTCCACACAAAGCTTGCTACAACTCTTTTTATTTGCCTTGAAATGCCGAATTGGTGTGACCCCCCCAGGATTTGAATCCACGACTTAAAGCAGCCTGGGTGTTGCACTGTCTCCATAGGTATTTCCATGCTGGAAATAACCACACAGTGAACTAGTTGTTCCCTGAACTGCTGTAAATTGGTCTGAAATGGCTCTGTGTACATGGCTGCAGGGTGTGGGGGTCCAGGGGTGTGGAGGGTGCAGACCCCCGTGGTGGGTGCTGTTCCCACCTTGCTCCCACCTTCCTGCAGCTCGGGATTTCTGTGCTCCCCACCACCCTCGCAGAAAGAGGATGTCAAGCAGTTTAAAATTAGGTTTTAATTAAATATTGTAATAGCTGTTTTCCCTACCCACTTGGGAAGCACTGCTCCTCCCTTCCCTGCTGGCTGGACCAGGCTGGCACCTCTGCACACAGGGAGCTGTACAGGGTGGGTTTCACAGGGCTGTGTTAAATGGGGGATGGAGTGGAGGGTGTGCAGATCCAGGGTGCCTTCAACACCTCAGATCCCCAAAACTGCCTGCAGTGCTGCAAACAAGCCCTGCTTGGCCCTGCAGTGGCTCCACTCTGAGCTGGTGCAGCCTCACCTTGAATATTGTGATAGTCTTGGACACCACAGTACGAGGAAGATCTGAAGCCATTAGAGAGTGTCCAAAGGAGGGCAATGAGGATGGGGAGGGGCCTTGAAGGGAAGCTGTGTGAGGACACTGAGATCACTTGGTGTGTTCAGCTGGGGAAGAGGAGACTGAGGGGAGACCTCACTGCTGTTACAACTTCCTGGGCAGGGGTAGAGGAGGGGCAGGACTGAGCTCTGCTCTGGGGGGACCAGGGACAGGACCCAGGGAATGGTCTGGAGCTGTGTCAGGGCAGGGGCAGGTTGGATGTCAGGAAAAGGTTCTTCCCCCAGAGGGTGGTTGGGCACTGAACAGGCTCCCCAGGGCAGTGGGCACAGCACCAAGGCTGACAGAGCTCAAGGGGAGTCTGGGGCTCTGGGGCACAGGGTGTGACTCTTTAGGGATGGTCCTGTGCAGGGCTGGGGGTTGGACTGGATGATCCTTGTGGATCCTTGTGGATCCCTTCCAATTCAGCATTTTCTGTGAAATGCAAACAATCTCTTGACTGATGGAGACTGCGACGGGCACAGAACGCAGCAAGACATGAGCTGCCCAGCAGCTCCTGGCCAAAATCTAAAGGACTCATGAAGACAAAGGGTTCTTGCTTGGTTTCTCTCCTTGCCATCTTCTGCCTGTGCCAGCCAGCAGCTCAGCACCCGATGATGCTCCAAGTTTCTTAATCCTGTCTTGGCTCATTTGCTACCTCTGCAGCCTGTTCCCCTCAGCTGCCCCTGGCTCTGTGGTCCTGGGCCCTGCTAACTGAAGGATGTTGCTCTCCTGGCCTGCAGCACCACCCACAAGCTACCCAGACAAAAAAAGGGGCATCCCCAGACTGCCTGTGCCCTGCACAGCGATGGGGTGGCAGCGCCCAGACTGCCTCCAGTGTCACAGGATGTTGCACAGATACAGGCTGGCATCACCCACCAAGGGTCTGGCCAAAAACAAGGCCAAAGTGGGCAAAGCATAAATGTATGGAGGAGGTCTTGGGGGAAAAAGTGGTGGCCCAGGGCAGCCATCAGCATCCATCCTCCTCCAGGTGCATCCCAGTGGCCATGATGAGGGAGCAGGTGGAGATAACAGGGGCTGTCCTGGGAAGAGCCAATCCTGGAGGGGAGCTGGGGGGGGGAGGGGGGTACGTGGCTCCACGGGGGCAATAAAAGAGGCAGTTGAGAGTGGTGGGGCATGAGAGTGGGTTGTGGTAAGTGTTTTTCCTCCTTGTGGAGTGGGTGGTTGTTTATTCCTTTATGGCCTGAGATGGGGCTGCTGGTTGGACTCTCTTGGCTGTTTGGGGCTGTGCTGGGTCTCCTGCTTGGCTGGTGTCAGTGGGTGGGTTGTGGTGCTCTTCTGCTGAGATGGGGGTGGAGAAGGCTCCTCCAAAAGAAGAGGCTTTTTGGGGTGTTGCTGTTCTGCTCTGTTATGGAAACAGAGGAAGGGAGGCTGGAGCAGGGTTAAGGCTATGGGGGGTGGGGTGGGGTTGGTTTGAGCCAAGTGGTGGCTCATCCTGGCCCCTCTGTGAACTGGGGAGGCTCTGCAGCTGAGTAGCTGGAATAAAGAGCTGCATCCCAGCCATGGCTGCTGGGACAGGAAAGAGAGAGGACTGAAAAAAAAAAACCCAACCAAACAAAAAAAAACCACCAAAAACTTATAATGAGGTGTGAGGGAGCTCTGGGAGGCTGGTCTGAGCTGCAGTTGTTGGCTGTGAGCCTGGAGGGAAGGTGAGGAGGCACCATCTGTGTGTGATCAGCCCCTGAGTATGTTGATACACAGCCTGGGTTTAGGGGTCCTGTGATGGTGTCTGGTCTGAAAACATCTCCATTTCTCCTGGGTGGAAGCCTTGTTTTTTCTGACAGAAGCTGTCTGAAGGCCAGCTCATGTTTTATCTGTGGCTTTTATTAGGAGGTGCTTAGAAAGGACTTTTACCTGTCCCTATTTAATGTTGCTCACCTGGTAATCTGTACTAGCTGCTGGATTTCCAGGAGAACTTCTTCAGTTGAACTTGGTCACTTTATGCCTCTGCGTGTGACTGTGGGTCTTCCTTACTTTGGGGTGCTGGTGTAGGAAGCCAGGTTGGGCTGTGTGGTGGGGTGAGAAGCTTGGATGTGGCTGTGTCCTTAAATCAGTCCTTGAGCTGATCTTTCTGGAGGCAAGAGGCCCTGCTAGGCTTGGGCTGTGTGTCAAAGTAAGACTAAAAGGCCCAGGATCAGAGCCAGAGGAAGGTGGCGTTTCTGTAACCATGGGAAGCCTGTGTCTGGCTTCCTCATGGGATTACAGCAGCAGCTGTAATTTTTGTAGCCTGATATTAAGTGGTAGTTTGTGCCTGTATTTAGTTCAGTGGCTCAGCTGCAGTGTGTGAGGATCCTACTGAGCCCTGCTTGGGGCAGGGGACCTGCAGCATCTCCCTCGGTGGGAGTGTGGCATGGAAATGTGTGGCACAGGCTGCTGGTGGGAGTGGAGGGGTCCCAGCCCCCTCTGTGGATGGCAGTGGATGCTGCTGGGCAGTTGTGACCTGACCCTGCTCTGTCCTGAAGCCCAAGAGCAAGCGAAGACGTTCAGCTGGCACCTCTCTCAACCCTGCTGAGATGGAGGTTGGGAAGCAGGAGCAGCACATGAGGAAGTTCAAGAACAAGGGCAAGGATGCAGCTGTGAGTACCCACCTGCCTGTGCCAGCACCTTTGGGCCATGGCAGAGCCCACTGAGGTTTGCCTGTTCCCCTTTTCAACAGATGGAGACTCTTGTGAAGGCCCATGGCCCTCAAATCTACCTGTATGGGGTAGCAAAGGGGGAGCAGGGGGATGGCTCTGCCAGCTGGGATGCTCAGGTGGCTTTTGAGATGTGATGTGGAGCTGGCTGGGCTGCAGGGAGTGTGGTGACACAGGCAGGGGGGATGTGGGTGACTCTGGGCTGGGGAAGGGGGTGGCTCAGCCCCAGCCTGCTGAGCTCTCTGCAGCAGTTATCCCTGTGGAGCGGGGGCTGGTATGGGATGTCAGACCATGGGATCTGTCAGCTTGCTTTAAGCCAGTAGAGGAGATGAGGGTTTGCCTTTCAAGTTCAGCAAATTTAGTTTTAAAAACCCCCACTGGTTGTCAGTTCATCCAGCAGTTCATGTCCTTGGGAGGCACCGAGGGAGAGGTTTACTCTGTCCCATCTCCTACATCACCCTCCAGGCCACAGGGAGGACATGCTGGCTCTCTGCACTCCTCCCGTGGGAAATGTGGGGCAGAAGGTTGCAAAGATGAACTCCCTGGGGAATGGGGTGATGCAGACTGTTGGGATGGTGCCCCTCTCCCCTCCAGGCCCTGCGGATGCAGAGGGTGGAGATGAGCATTGAGCTGAGGAAGGCCAAGAAGGATGAGCAGATCCTGAAGCGCAGAAATGTGTCCCTTCATGTGAAGGATGAGAATGTCCCTCCAGGACAAAACAGGACACATGAGGTGAGTGCTGGGTCCTCTGCACCTGGGCAGGATCAGTGCAGTAGTTATCATCCCCTACTCAGACCACTACCAAGTCCAGCTGGTGTGACCTGGGTTAAGTATCTGGTGCCATTCCTGACTGCCATGCCCAACACTGGGGAGTGTTTCAGACTGCCTGGCCTCTGCCTTTGCTATTTTTCATGGAGATGATGTCCTGTTGGCCTCCCTTGATGGCAGGTAGAACAGGCTGGTGCTCTGGCTCCCTGGGAGCTGGCACAGCTCCTGTCTGGCTCCCTGCACAGTGAGGGGTAATTACTGAGCTTGAAGGCCCATTATGGTGTGTCAGGGACTCTTTCAGTGCTTGATTATAAGCATTAGTTGCCTTGAAGGCTTTTGTGGATTCTCTGCCTCATCTCGAAACTGTGTTGCATAAAGAATAGACAGTGCTTAGATATGAAGTGGTGACTGACTCGGGTCTAGACAGCTGATTGACTGCAGAGATTAAACCAGAGGGAGTCCCGGCTCCCCTCTGACTGTGAATCATTCCCTGTGACACAGATTATTCAGCTGTCCTTGGAGGAGATCGTGGAAGGCATCAATGAGAACAACCCCAAGCTGCAGCTGCTGGCCACACAGGCCACCAGGTATGTGCCTGGCTGCCTGGGCCACGAGGGAGGTGGCTCATGGAGCTGTGGTGGGTCCTGGTGGCAAAAGGCATTTATTCCTGTTTGAGGAGCTCTCTAGAGAGATGGCAAAGAGGGAAGGAGCGTGGTAACCCAGACTGCTCTGGGGAACCTCAGCTGGTGCCTGTTGTGTGCCCTGTGTGCCATGCTTCTCTCTGTCACAGTCTTGGGTGGCACCTGTAGCACGGACCTGGGGGGTTGAACCCAACTGAGGGGTTTGCTGTGGCTCCTGGTGCTGCCCCCCTTGCTGTGCCTGTGCTGTGCCAGGGATCATGTTGGATCCTGCAGGAAATCAAGAGCCAAGTGCTTGGGCAGGCCAAGGAATGGAGAGCCTGGCTCTGTAAGGGTCAGTGCTGAGTGGGACTGTCCCCACTGCGGTGGCTGTAGGAAGGATTACAGGGTGTCACCATCACCCAGCTGGCAGCAGGGATGACTCCTGAGGGTCCAGGAGAGATTACATGTTTGTCTTTAAGCTGGAAAACCAGCCTGAAACCAGCTGTTTGAGCTCTGGTCTGTGCAGAGCTGGCTGGTCCTCCTGACCCCAGGAGTGGCAAAGCCAGGCTGGAAGAGAACGCATGGCATATATTTTTATCACAGTCTCAAACTCCTGCAGGGTAGGGGGCATGGAATATTATCATGGTCCCAAAAGGATGTGTGAGGTATTGCACTCCAACAGAGACCCTGCTGTTGCTTTAGTATCTTTAGCTGTGTCTTCCCTCTCTATGGCAACCCCTCAGCTGAGGTTTGCTGGAGTGGGGTGCTGAACTGTCATCTCTTGCAGGTGATGCTTCCCCTGCAAGCCACAACCTGGTACCTGTTTATGGGCTGTGGTGGCCCCACACAGGGTTTCTCATGGCAGGCTGTGCTGTGTCCTCTTGCAGGAAAATGCTGTCCAGGCAGAAGGACCCCCCCATCAGTCAGATCATCCAGCTGGGGATCGTCCCCAGGATGGTGGAATTCCTGGGCCGTGCTGACAATGCTGCCCTGCAGTTTGAGGCAGCCTGGGCACTGACTAACGTTGCCTCTGGCACCTCGGAGCACGCCAGGGCCGTGGTGGATGGAGGTGCTATCCCAGCCCTCATCTCCCTCCTGTCCTCCCCACACATGCACATCAGTGAGCAGGCAGTGTGGGCTCTGGGCAACCTTGCAGGTGAGGAGAGGTGTGGGGGCACACAGAGGGTCACTGACCAAGCCAGTGCTGGAGAGATAAAATATTGTTGCCCCTCACCATAGCCCTCTCTCCCTGCAGCTTTGTGTCCAAGCTGCTGCCCCTATTGAACCCCTTGACCCTTCAGCCCCTTGGTGTGGCCTGGCAGCCCTTGAGATCCTGTGTGGGCTCTGCGAGAGGATTTTGGCCAAAGCCAAGGCCAGGATTCCATCCTGCTGGCATGGTTTAACCCCCTAATGTGGTCAGCAGGGAGAATAGAATGGGTTGTGTCTGGTTAGCCTGCCACCACCCAGCCCTGCTGGCACTCCAACCTGCCCAGTAAATCCTTCTCACCTGGAAATGCCTAATGGTGTGTGGCTGGTGGGGGAGCCTGGTCACCCAGCCCTGGCCCTGCAGGTCTGATTGCTGTTTGATGTTGACTGTCTTGTGATTTGGGCAGATGCAATAACCAACCCTTTACCTGTACAGGGGATGGTCCTCTCTACAGAGATATTCTTATCAATCATGATGTGATTCCTCCCTTGCTGGCTCTGGTGTCACCTGTAACTCCAGTAAATAACCTTCATTTTCTTGCCTTAACAGCTCTTAATCACTTGGGTGATGGGGGAATGATGGTCTTGTCATCTGTGTTAAACACAACAACTAACAATTGTATAATTGAATGAGACCCTGCTCTAAACTGCTTTTATGACCCTGCCTGTGCACAAAGCTGGGGATGCCAAGCAGACAGTCTCCAAGTCAATGTGATACCTTTCAGTCTTGGCTTTTTTATCCAGCTTTGACTATCTCAGCCCAGGAATAAGATGAAACTGGTGCAAGGCAGACTTGCATATGCATATGGAAGGGCTGAACTTGCCCTTCAAGCTTCCTTCTGCTGCTTTTTGGGTAGCTCTAAACTGCTGGATTGGTGGCTTATCCCTGCCCTTCTGCAATGGTGCCTGTCCCACTGCTTTCTGTCTCTGGGGGAGAAGAACCTTCACAGGGTGGCATCAGGTGGACTGAGAAGCTCTCAGGGGCAGTGAGAATCTTACACCTCCCTTGTGTTTCAGGTTGGCTTCCTGAGGAACATCACCTGGACACTGTCCAACCTCTGCAGGAACAAGAACCCCTACCCTTCCTTGGATGCAGTGCACAAGATACTGCCTGTCCTCATCTGCCTCATACAGCACGAGGACAAGGAAATCATCACTGACTGCTGCTGGGCTCTTTCCTACCTGACCGACAGCTCCAACGACCGCATCCAAATCGTGGTGGACACGGGGGTTCTCCCCAGGCTGGTGGAACTCCTGGCCAGCATGAACTTGATGGTTATGGTAGGGAACAATCAGCAATCTCCATCCTCTGGCCCCTTTAATGTAGAAACATCTGAGGGGAGGGAAGGCACATCTCCTTATTCTGTGGCACCTGTGGTGTGCTGTCCCCTCAGCCTGCAGGGCTGTCAGGCCACTGCTCTGCTCCAGCTTGCTGTGGCTGGAGGCTGGATAGAGACTCCAAAGCTGCTTAGAGCAAACAGGAGGGCGACAGGTCTGTAAATAAGCAGCGCTCACCCACAATGCTCTCCTTGTTTGAGGGATCAAGCACTTAGTGAGGGATCTTGCTGGACTTTGACATGTATCCCTTGAGGTAAGGCCTCTCCTCATCTCCTTTAATCCCTGTCTAGACTCCAGCTCTGCGTGCCGTTGGGAATGTGGTCACAGGGACGGACCAGCAGACCCAGGCAGCCATCAATGCCGGTGTCCTGGCTGTCCTGCCCCGTCTCCTGCGGCACTCGAGGCCAGGGATCCAGAAGGAAGCAGCGTGGACACTCAGTAACATTGCAGCAGGGTCTTCCCAGCAGATCCAACAGCTCATCACCTGCGGGTTACTGCCACCCTTGGTGGAGCTGCTCGACAAGGTAAGGGATGGGGAAGTTCTGCTGAGGTTCCTGAGGTCTGTGGTGCCTCACTCATGAAGGACTCTGCCCCAAGAGCCACCTGATCAGGCTGTTAGAGAGCTGTTGGCATCCTTGGAACAGCCTGGGCATTCAGACTTGTCAGTACACTTGCATGGAAACGTGTGCTGGAGCTGCTCTTGGCAGCTCTGCCAGGTGTCCTCGAAGGGCTGGGAAATGGGGGGTCAGTCCAAGCTGAGTACAAGGGAAAGGACTATTCTCACCTCACACTGATCCTGGAGGGATGATAAAGCTTGGGAATGCCTTCCCTGTGGTGCTTTTCCAGGGTGACTTCAAGGCTCAGAAGGAGGGTGTGTGGGTAGTGGCCAACATCACGACTGGAGGAACAGTGGATCAGATGGTGGAGCTCGTCCGTTCTGGGGTCCTCAAACCTCTGCTCAACCTGCTCTCAGCCAAGGACAGCAAAACTATCCTGATCATCCTGGATACCATTTCAAATCTCTTCCTGGTAAGACCTCTTATCTCTTGAATTCCTTCCCCAAAAGAGCAGCAAGGAGTGAGCCAAGTGCTCACATTGTGTGGTTAGAACAGTGGCTGTTGATTTTTGGAGTAAGAGATAATTTTCATGCTGTCTAGCTTGTTCTTGGGTTGTCCAAAGGGCTTGACAAGATTAAAGTTCCCTCCTCACCTCCTGCCAGCTGGTTTGGTTGGCAGTCAAGCCACTGCAGTTGTCCCAGCAGGGACTGGTGTTCCATAGGCACCACAGCCATATCCCTGGCATCAGGTAGGGACTGCAAATTCAGGGACTATGATCCTTTTAACTTGTAGATCAGGGTTGTAATTACAGTAAAGACCATCTCAGACCTGTTACTGATGCAATGTTCTATTTTCCTGCTTGGTTTCCTGATGTTACAGGCAGCTGAGAAGCTGGGAGAGACAGAGAAGTTGTGTCTTCTGCTGGAGGAGCTCAATGGTCTGGAGAAAATTGAAGACTTGCAAAACCATGAGAACAACATAGTCTACAGAGCTGCCCTGAACATCATAGAGAAATACTTCTCTGGTGAGGTATGTGACCCTTTGCTGTTTCTCAGCTGAAAATATGAAGCTGTTATGCACTGGAATGAAGAACAGGATACTGAAATAGGCTTTTGGAGGAGACCTCCACATGGCTGGAGTAGTCCTTGCAGCTTCTTTCAGCTGCTTCTAAAGGTCTGTGAAAGCTCCAAGTTGTTGTGAGTTGCACAACAGACATGGGTGCCTTGATAGCATCTTGCTGCTGGAAATTAAACTGGCATCAGCTGGAGTTACTGCAGTTGCTGATATGAATACCAAATGTGGAGAAGTTTTCCTCCTTCGGAGCTGAGCTGGCTTGTCACTATGAATGGAAGCCTCCTACTCTGCTGATAACAGTGCTCAGGTTGCATTTGGATTACTTGACCCTTCTCGTGGTAATGAATCTGTGGAAAAAGAGGCTGGGACACCAGCTAGGAGCTGCAGGAGTCCAGTGACTGTCACAGATGCCATGCTTGGTCCCAGCCTCAGTCTTGCAGATGGGAAAACATCAGGGAAGAGGCTTAAAAGTCTGGCAGATCTTGGAGCTGAGGCTCAGCCTGGATGGGATTGCAGCAGGGAGCAAATGCCTGGTTTAGTCCTTTGCCCAGAGCAGGGTCTGTGGGATGTCCCTGTTGAGGGACTGTGGGGGAAGCTCTCCCACACACCAGCACCTTCCTGAGGGGTTGGATGCCAGGGGGAACATCTCTCCTAAGCAGTCCTGGTTTGTTGCTGTTCCATTTGAATTAGAGTGAGTTCTGCCACTGCAGCCACTCTTCTCTTCTGGTGTCTCAGCCCATAGGCTTGGCTGCTTTTGTGTGTGGGATGCAGGGATACTGCAGCTTCAGTGTGCTGTCAGGAACAGGAGCACTTGGGTCTGGTTTCCCAGCGCTCTGTTAGAGCTTCTTACAGCAGCTGAATCTTTAAAACAAAAATAAAACAGTAAGTTGCTGTAAAAAAAAAAAAGCTTAGGTTTATTCAGATGCAGACCCTATAACTGATTTGATATCACTTTCCTCACAGGAAAACTCAGACCTGGAGCCTCAGACTGGCCAAGATGGGCTGTATGATTTCTCAGTGGAGAAGCAAGACTTCAACTTCTGAAGATTAAAGCACGACACAGCTCTGAGCTGGTGGGTGAAGGTGCTTTGAAAGAGCTCAGACATCCAGTTCATAAGGAGCAGAGATGCTGAGTCTTTTTACTTCTGAAACTTGTCAATAAATTGCACTTCTGGCTTTGTACCTCTCGCCTTTGATTATTTTCTCCCCACTTTTAAGGTGCTGCTGCAAATGACATGGCCTGTTTTTTTCCAGTAGCATCTGAAGGCCTTGCAGAAATGTGTTGGAGCTCGTGGGCATGTTTTCTGGGTGGGAACTGTCTTCTAAGTACATAAAGCTGCTGGAGAGCAGCATCTTGCCACCAAATCCTTGTCCTGAAACTTCCAGGCTTGACTTGGAGTAGCTGAAATAGCTCTGAGAAGGGTTTCACCCTTCTGCAGACACCATCACCTCTATAGGAGGAGATGCTTTTGGCAGAGAAGGAACTCAGCCAGGGGAAGGTGGGTCACTGTCCTTGCTGTGTGTTGCTTCACTTGCCCATGGAGGCATTGGAGCCTGGATGCTGAGTAAATGCTGGTCCTTTGGAAGGAAAGCTGTCAGAGGCAGATGGTGCAGTAGGAACAATACACTTCTGCTCCAGCCTGGAGCCCATGGACCTGGACTGCCCTTTAATTCTGAGGCCCCATATTTCAGGTTTCCATTTCATTCAGTGCCCCTTGTCCTTCTCTCCAAGCCCTCCAGCTGTGGTCTGTGAGCAGAAGCTGAGGAGGATGAACTTGATGTGGCTCTCGAGTCCAAAGGTTCTGTGCTGTGGGTTCACAACAAGCTGCTGGACACTGCTCCATCCCTGCAGTGTTGGTGGACAGGGCTTGAAGCATCTCAAAGGCTTTGCTCAGTGTGAGATGAGGGGGCAGTTTTCCCTCCTGGCTTTGTGGGGTTTGGCTCTTCAAAATGACCCTGGGTGGGCTCAGGGCTTTGCTTCCTCAGCTGCAGTGGGAGGTGATGTGACAGCTTAACCTGAAGGGAAAATCTCCTCTTCAGGAAGCTGAGACTCTTCCTCTGCCCTGGCCCTGCTCATCAGAGGATTTATGTGTTTCTCCTGCAGGCCACCCAGGGAACAGGGAGTTGGTAGTAAAGTCTGTGCTCTGTGGCCTGTGAGGAGCTGTGCAGCCCCAGCTGTGGGTGCCAGAGCTGAGTATCACTTCTTCAATATTAAAATGCCAGGATCTGAAATGCAAAGTGTTTCCTGCATCCAACACAGTGGCCTTGAAAACACACTAAAGCAATGCCTGAATGTGCAACTGAAAAAAGAGCCTGTAAGAAACCCTCTGTGCCTGGGGTTGATGCTGAGGGTGGTGGCTGGGCTGTGTGTGTGCTCTCCTGCTGCTGACAGGGCTGATGTGGCACCTGGGAATGGTCACATTTCACTGGGTAAAATGAATCTGAGGAAGGTGCTTCCTCAGTGTAAGTGGAGACACAGACCAGAGCCAGGGTCTGTGTGACCACCCTGACTTTGGATTGTGTGGAGCATCCCATGTGGCTTTTCCCAGGGCTAGGCAGGGCTGTCCCTTGCTGCTGCTCTGATGCCTAAAACCAAGAGGAAAAAGAGAAATGGCAGATCTCTTTGACTTTTCTCCTGCATGTGCTGGACATAAACCTGTGACAGATGGTCTTACCCAGAGCCCTGGGACCTTCCCACTGCTGTGCCCCTAAGTTAGAACACTGTAGGAGAGCACATCCCTCTGCTGAAGAGTGTTGGGATGTGCCTGCTGCCTGCCCTGGCAGCTGGAGGACTGGGACCAGTGCCTGATGGCTCACCAAGGCTGCTGTGGTGTGGGCGTGGGACCTGCAGGCAGCTGCTTGCCTGGCTCACTGGAGCTGCCCTGCTCTGGCCCCAGCTCTCCTGCCTGGGGCACAGGGACCAGGAGAGGCAGTTTTGGCTTTGGTGCTCTGCTCTGGGGGCCTGGAGGCACCTGCTTCTCCCGGTAGGATGGGATGGGGCATCCACTGGGAGTAGGGAGGCTGAGATGCTGCTGTGCTGCACCCCCAGTGCTTCCTCAGGGCAGCCCGACCTCCCTCTAGAGACGGGTGAAAAAAGGTAATTTTTCTAATTAAAGCCTCCAGTGTCCTGGCCCCAGGGGAGCATTTGGAGTCAGAGAACCATAAAGGCTGGAAAAGACTCTGAGATTGTCCAGTCCAACCTTCAGCTGAACACCCCCAGTCCACCAAATGTCACACCTACTTGTTCTTTGAATGTTCCCAGCGATGCTGACTCCACCACTGCCCTGGGCAGCCTGGGCCACTGCTTGACCACCCTCTG